TTGGGAAACAGAATATGAAATAAAGTCATGTTTATATCTGCAACAAGTTGGGAAACATGGCATGAAATAAATTCAGGTTTATATCTGCAATAAGTTGGGAAACAGAATATGAAATAAAGTCATGTTTATATCTGCAACAAGTTGGGAAACATGGCATGAAATAAATTCAGGTTTATATCTGCAATAAGTTGGGAAACAGAATATGAAATAAAGTCATGTTTATATCTGCAACAAGTTGGGAAACATGGCATGAAATAAATTCAGGTTTATATCTGCAATAAGTTGGGAAACACAATATGAAATAAAGTCATGTTTATATCTGCAACAAGTTTGATGACAAAATATGACTGAAAGTAATTTTTAAAGTCTACAACAAGTTAAGGAACATGATGGGAAATAATTCCTGATATGTTGATATCAACAACAATATTGGGAACAAGAGAGGTTTGTGTCTGCTACACATTGTTGAGTTGAGTACCCTTTCCCTCAACTACTGTTTCCCCTGGTCAGTGTACAGGATGATATACTGTATTCAGACACCATTACTGAAGTAAGTCCTTAGAGATGTCCAGTGTAAAACTACAAGACTGAGACCTAGAGCTCACACATCTCTCGTCCCCATTGTAACCTAACTACATGCTCATTTATTGGGGTGAATACAGACTTGTTGCAAAGTGATCAGGACACACATGAAAGTCATTTCATTGGGTGAATACTTGCAGCTACTCAGCTACCTCAGTCTTCATTACAAATGTGGGTTTGATATTCAGTGTAGGGTGTATCGTTGTCAACATCCAAGACAACCCTTGGTAACTTGAAGTGGCAAATATGTGTGCATAGTGCACTGTTGCACGGATGGAGGTCGGGCGTAATAAGGAGGCCACAAAGTGAACAATTTCTGTGATAGTTTTTCTCCACTTTCTAAACAGTTTCATCATTCTCTTTGCAAAGGACACATTGTTTCTCACTGGCACCCTAGGCCTCCAGCCATTTCCGGCAAATGCCAAACGATGAATTTGGGGGTTGTGAAGAGAGACGGATACGAGGGAACAAAGCTTTATAGGCAAGATGGAAGCCATAGTATATCTCTATGTGCAGACTGTCTTCTACCCAAATGTCAAGGATGAATTTGACATTGATGTGCAGACGTATAGGTTTAGTAACTTTCATGCCAACATGCCACAAAATAGACTTTCAGATGTATAACATGTATTATTCAGAAGGAACATTCTCCTGACAAGTAGGAATGGAGAACTTCATATTATATGTATTGTGAAAAGGAAATTCCATTGGAAAAGTGTGGTCATGCCTGAGCAGATTTGTTCCAGGGGTTTGGTATCAGTTTATTAAAAATAAGAATATATTCAGAATATATAGCAGAAAGATGTTGCTCCTCCTGTTATGGCTGAGGATCCGTGAAGATCTGGGGTAGAATAGGTCCTCAGCATCCCATGCATGCCATGAAGGCGACTTTGCTTGTCGTTAAGAGGCGACTAACGGAATCGGGTGGTCAGACTCGCTGACTTGATTGATGCATGTCGTCGTATCCCAACTGCCTGGTTCGATGCTCATGATGTCTATCACTGGATTGTCTGGTCCAGACTTGATTATTTACAGACCACCGTCTTATTGCTGGAATATGTCTTAGTGCAGCGTTAAACAATAAATATACAAATAGAAAACATGTCTGGTTGAGAGGTTTTAGTTCACATTGAATAATCACTCACTCACACAGCAAATCTAATCTTCAAGTCCATAACACAGGAAGTTACATTTATGCATCCTTATAAATGTGACCATTTTATTAATTGTGCTTCTCATTAAACATCATATCCATTAGAGCTGGTTGACTCTCATCCTGTCTTCTCACTTCTGTGTCACAGATCTTCCAACTAGCATACATTCAACCCTGTTCTTCAGTACTGTTCATTGCCATGTTAAACTCATTCATTCACCCTAAGGCCTACATTTGCTGTGCATAGTTGTGTACTAGAAACCTACGATCCTGGGTTTGAATCCCAGATTTGCCCGGTCAATGATTCTGGGTACATGTGTTTGTGGGTCCACATTAAACATCAAAGGCTTGTGTCACTTAGGGCTTTCCTCTCTCACCAAGTTGACAGGCTGTGATCACTAGACAGTGTAGAACCAAACTCACTCACTCACTCACTCCATGATAGACAAGGGTGACTGGATGAGGATGCTTGTGAAAGCCCCTCCCTGGATTATAACTATCCGCAGAGACGATCAATATACAGCAGGGGTGTGTGACAGCACCAGGACATTGTGTAGACAAGTGGAATCTGCAGCTTCATCAGGAAGGGTGGTCTGCCTGTCTCAGGATGCTCCGTCCAACTGTTCTGCTGCTATCGGCTCTGCATGTTCTGCGTCACTTACTGGCCACACAGGTCATGTGTCATCAGCAGAGGCACCTGTCATCAGAGTCACTTGTGTTCAGGTATTTTGTCTCCGTCTCTATGCGAGGTATTGTTGTCATGTGGGAGAGTATTCCTGTAGAATGGCTATTGGTTCAGGTGTTTGTCAAAAGAGAATTGGTAGTTACAAAGCTTAGAAGATTGGAAGAATGTCAGAGAATAGGAATGAAATAGTTGAAAGTCTGAGCTGCATATTCTAAATGGAGAGTTTATGGATTTTGAAAAAGGTATGCTGGTGCTATGTGAGAAGGATATCAGGAAACCTGACAATGGTCATATTCACAAGCACATCATACAGTGTACTTAGCACTCGGAGGCAATGAGTAATTGGTTTTGCAAACTCAGCATTTTTACTGCCTCCCACTGCAATCATGGACTGTGGTGGCTAGTTTATGGCAGTGCTTGATGCTGACATATTCCCAGATCACAGATCTGTCCTATAGATCAATGTTTCAGCTGTCATTAATCTCACTTCCCAATACAGATGACTATCACTATATTCAACACTAGGAATAGGGAATTGACCTTGGGGATGAAGAAACGGTATATACGTCAGTGGTAATGGAGTCAGATCTGGAAATGACATATTTTCAAATGATGAAGTTCTGTAGAAATATATTGCACTGTAGACCATGTCTCTTGCATGACTAGGGGCGGTCGGGTAGCCTAGTGGTTAAAGCGTTCGCTCCTCACGCAGAAGACCCGGGTTCGATTCCCGACATGGGTACAATGTGTGAAGCCCATTTCTGGTGTCCCCCGTCGTGATATTGCTGGAATATTGCTAAAAGCGGCGTAAAACCATACTCACTCACTCACTCACTCTTGCATGACTACTTGTAAATTCAAGGATAAAATTCATTTTAGGACATTGCCACATTGAAAATAGAAAATTAGTGGGTTCCACCTAACATATAACAAATGGAAAAACAAATTTCTTTGTGAGTACTGTAGGTCATGCAAAAACATCAGGTGATTGTAAAAATGCTATTGACATGTATACCACTCTCCCTTAAATTTTGTGTCCTGTCAAGAAACAGATTCCTCAAAATTTATTTAGGCCTCAAGATTTAAAAATGATAAATAGCAAGTTTTGTTTTGTTCTATTGATACGACAGTTGGCAAGTTGGTTTGGTTTAGTTGTTTGCGCATCCCCTGATGCAGAGGATGCAGACAAAGCCACCCAAACCTCCAACAGTTGGACTTCCTAGCATCTGCCTGGGTGTACCTGCCTGGTGTAGCTGCAGGAGGGTTACTACACCAACTGTTGATGTAGTTACGATCAACAACGCCGATGTTGCAGCAGCACCTGAGAGTGTGGGGGAACTCCCTCTACTCCATTACATGGCCAGACTTGTATGTTTCTACTTGACACTCACTTCGGGGACTAGTTCTGCTACTTCAGAGGGAGTTGTGTTGCCAAATGGTACATGTATTTCTCACCAGACATTTAACAGGTCGTGTTGATGATTTTTTGGTAGTATCCAGATCAAAGCTTTTGCAAGTCTGTAAAATGTGGATTCCAGGTTGGTGTTGCAGTCATAGTGTTTGGAGATGTGGACTTATGAAAATGTATCTTGTCATCGGTGTTGAAGGTTACGACAAACTGATTTCATAATGTACACATAACTAACTTGTTGGTCTGAGTAATTTTCTGAGTACACTTGAATATAACTCTTTTTAAATTGGCAGGTATAGGTATAGATCAAAATCCAACACATGAAGAAGGGGCCTGTCTACATCTAAAACAACTTTCTTTGACAGTATTTTAAAGGAACATCAGTCTGCCATTGAATATTTTCACAGTCCATAGACACCCGTGAAGATCGGGGTTAGAATAGGTCTTCAGCAACCCATGCTTGCCGTAAGGCGTGGCTATGCTTGTCGTAAGAGGCGACTATGCTTGTCGTAAGAGGCAACTATGCTTGTCGTAAGAGGAAACTATGCTTGTCGTAAGAGGCGACTGATGGGATCGGGTGGTCAGAGTCGCTGACTTAGGTGATGCATGTCATCATATCCAAGTTGTATAGATCAATGCTCATGATGTCAATTACTAGATTGTCTTGTCCAGAATGTATTACCTACAAATTGCCGTCATATAGCTGGAATATTTCCTAGTGCTGTGTTAAACAACAAACAAACAAGCACAGTCCAGAACCTGCATTATCCCTTGAAATTGTCTATAATGTTTATTCAAAGCCGATGGATTAGCTTTCCATCGTTCTGCTGTTGTCAACTTAATTATCAAGGGGATTATATTCTATTGTGATAAAAAGACTGGACCCATTTGCCGACAGAATTTCACATTGAACACTATTCAAAATTCTCAATACATCCTTCCAGTCAATTCTTTGCTACACAAATGATAAATGACGATCATAATGTCCTTTACAAAACAAGGATTCATTGGAGAATGGGTCCAGAGTATTTATCACAACATAATTTTATGCCCTTGATAGTAGAATGTAGATATAATTCCCTGGATAAGCGAGGATGATGTTGTACCTGTGCAGGGACTTCAACCATACATTGAGCATGTGTCACTGAGGGATTGCTTTCTTCTTGCAGGTCTTGCATTGTAGAGGATTGACCAAGCATTGATGCTATAGGTAAGTCGACATTTGGTTTTGCAGTGGAATAAAACATCATAGTGATCTTATAGTACCATGAATATCCTAAGTTATATGTTAAAGTGTGGGAGCTACGATCACCTTAATGGTAAGATTGCTTTGTGGAACTGAAGGCTTGGAGTTTTGATGTGATGGTTTACTAAATGAACTAAGATTGAACAGTAGTGGACATTGCTTTGTGGTCGTGTTCAACACCTCGAGCATTCACATCAGCAGTTTTGAAGCTTCGACTTCAGCAGTTCTTAGAATTAACTAGACATTCGGACATCAGTTGATGTTTGTCCTGACTAGCTTCCACTTCAGACTTATGCAGTACACCATCACACTTAAGTATACATTTACAGTACACCATTACACTTAAGTATACATTTACAGTACATCATTACACTTAAGTATACATTTACAGTACATCATCACACTTAAGTATACATTTACAGTACATCATTACACTTAAGTATACATTTACAGTACATCATCACACTTAAGTATACATTTACAGTACATCATTACACTTAAGTATACATTTACAGTACATCATCACACTTAAGTATACATTTACAGTACATCATTACACTTAAGTATACATTTACAGTACATCATTACACTTAAGTATACATTTACAGTACATCATCACACTTAAGTATACATTTAAAGTACATCATCACACTTAAGTATACATTTACAGTACATCATTACACTTAAGTATACATTTACAGTACACCATTACACTTAAGTATACATTTACAGTACATCATCACACTTAAGTATACATTTACAGTACACCATTACACTTATGTATACATTTACAGTACATCATCACACTTAAGTATACATTTACAGTACACCATTACACTTATGTATACATTTACAGTACATCATCACACTTATGTATACATTTACAGTACATCATTACACTTAAGTATACATTTACAGTACACCATTACACTTAAGTATACATTTACAGTACACCATCACACTTAAGTATACATTTACAGTACATCATCACACTTAAGTATACATTTACAGTACATCATCACACTTAAGTATACCTTTACAGTACATCATTACACTTAAGTATACATTTACAGTACATCATCACACTTAAGTATACATTTACAGTACATCATTACACTTAAGTATACATTTACAGTACACCATCACACTTAAGTATACATTTACAGTACATCATCACACTTAAGTATACATTTACAGTACACCATTACACTTAAGTATACATTTACAGTACATCATCACACTTAAGTATACATTTACAGTACACCATCACACTTAAGTATACATTTACAGTTCACCTTCACACTTAAGTATACATTTTCAGTACACCTTCACACTTAAGTGTACATGAACAGTACACCATTACACTTAAGTATACATTTACAGTACACCATCACACTTAAGTATACATTTACAGTACACCATTACACTTAAGTGTACATTTACAGTACACCATCACACTTAAGTATACATTTACAGTACACCATCACACTTAAGTATACATTTACAGGACACCATCACACTTAAGTATACATTTACAGTACACCATCACACTTAAGTATACATTTACAGTACACCATCACACTTAAGTATACATTTACAGTACATCATTACACTTAAGTATACATTTACAGTACATCATCACACTTAAGTATACATTTACAGGACACCATCACACTTAAGTATACATTTACAGTACACCATTACACTTAAGTATACATTTACAGTACACCATCACACTTAAGTATACATTTACAGTACACCATCACACTTAAGTATACATTTACAGGACACCATCACACTTAAGTATACATTTACAGTACACCATCACACTTAAGTATACATTTACAGTACACCATCACACTTAAGTATACATTTACAGTACATCATCACACTTAAGTATACATTTACAGTACATCATCACACTTAAGTATACATTAACAGTACACCATCACACTTAAGTATACATTTACAGTACATCATCACACTTAAGTGTACATTTACAGTACACCATTACACTTAAGTATACATTAACAGTACACCATTACACTTAAGTATACATTTACAGTACATCATCACACTTAAGTATACATTTACAGTACATCATCACACTTAAGTATACATTTACAGTACATCATCACACTTAAGTATACATTAACAGTACACCATTACACTTAAGTATACATTTACAGTACATCATCACACTTAAGTATACATTTACAGTACATCATTACACTTAAGTATACATTTACAGTACATCATCACACTTAAGTATACATTTACAGTACACCATTACACTTAAGTATACATTTACAGTACATCATCACACTTAAGTATACATTTACAGTACATCATCACACTTAAGTATACATTTACAGTACATCATCACACTTAAGTATACATTAACAGTACACCATCACACTTAAGTATACATTTACAGTACATCATCACACTTAAGTGTACATTAACAGTACACCATTACACTTAAGTATACATTTACAGTACATCATCACACTTAAGTGTACATTTACAGTACATCATTACACTTAAGTATACATTTACAGTACATCATCACACTTAAGTATACATTTACAGTACATCATCACACTTAAGTGTACATTTACAGTACATCATTACACTTAAGTATACATTAACAGTACACCATTACACTTATGTATACATTTACAGTACACCATCACACTTAAGTATACATTTACAGTACATCATTACACTTAAGTATACATTTACAGTACACCATTACACTTAAGTATACATTTACAGTACACCATTACACTTAAGTATACATTTACAGTACATCATCACACTTAAGTATACATTTACAGTACATCATCACACTTAAGTATACATTTAAAGTACATCATCACACTTAAGTATACATTTACAGTACATCATTACACTTAAGTATACATTTACAGTACATCATCACACTTAAGTATACATTTACAGTACATCATTACACTTAAGTATACATTTACAGTACATCATCACACTTAAGTATACATTTACAGTACACCATTACACTTAAGTATACATTTACAGTACATCATCACACTTAAGTATACATTTACAGTACATCATTACACTTAAGTATACATTTACAGTACATCATCACACTTAAGTATACATTAACAGTACACCATTACACTTAAGTATACATTTACAGTACACCTTCACACTTAAGTATACATTTACAGTACACCATTACACTTAAGTATACATTTAAAGTACACCATTACACTTAAGTATACATTTACAGTTCACCTTCACACTTAAGTATACATTTACAGTACACCTTCACACTTAAGTGTACATTAACAGTACACCATTACACTTAAGTATACATTTACAGTACACCATCACACTTAAGTGTACATTTACAGTACACCATTACACTTAAGTATACATTTACAGTACACCATCACACTTAAGTGTACATTTACAGTACACCATCACACTTAAGTGTACATTTACAGTACACCATCACACTTAAGTATTCATTTACAGTACACCATTACACTTAAGTACTCTGGTACACATTTATTCATTCATACTCAGCCTAATTTATAATCAAACATCCAAAAATAACACTATCAAGGTTTCTGTGTACAAGAAAGGTTTTTGTATGAATCGAAAACAATTCCGGTTCCCCAAATGAAGGAGGTGCCTGATAGATGTGTGGTGTGTGTGGTCCTTTGTTGAATACTTGTCCGTCACTCCATCAGTCATTCCACAGATGCAGAGGCGGGGAGATCAAAGATGTGATGGGGACAAATGATTAGTCCTGCTTAGTGTCGTCAAGTAAGGTATGACCCCTGTTCATGTAATAAGGTGCTTTGGATTGATAAAAACATCAAGACATTCATAAATTAGATAAGGATGCATGATATCCCAAATAGACCATGGGAATATTTCGAGGTTTTGTTTCCTTTCTTGAACAAAGTACATTGAGCAGTGACCTTGCTAACTGGAAACACAATCCAGAGATTGTTGTTCATCTCTATCTGGTACTGCCAACCAGGATGAAGAGATTCCTGTAAAAATTAGACAAAAAAGTCTGATAAAACAACATGGAGTGTGGCATACTATCACAATACTCTGGAGCAAGTGACAGTTGGGTACTTGTGTGCAGTGTGCGGCTCAAGTCTCATTTGTAGAAATGTCTTGCTTAATATGTTAAAAGCCAGCAGGCAGAAAAAGTCCCTGTAACTTGGTTCATATGTTGTTTATCCTGTACTTAACCTCTGGTGAGTACATACAATAACCCGGGCGTATTTGAAAACAAGTTTGTTGCCACCTGAGAAAACATAGGCCATAACCAGTATCATATCGATGCAAACACGTGAGCATGCGCCATACACCAAACTGACTCCAAAAACAGTTGCATTGTTTCAAATTCATTTAAGTGCGAGAATATGGCAGGCGGATTTTAGAAATTTCATTGAGAAAATTTTGTTTGTGTTTTTTGGCTGTTACAGGAGGAAAATGTTTTTCCTTTGTAACTATTTGTATGTTGCATTGTGTTTGTTTTCATAAACTGATCCAAGTCAAATAGAATAAGAAAAATATTTGTTATTCATACTGTTTGAGGAACAAGGGTGAAGTGTTGAAGGTTTTAAATGTTATGAATACAAAACTCACTACCTTTTGTCAATGGCTGTTATGGTTCTCACTTTGTTGTTAACAGTTCTCACTTTGTTGTTAACAGTTCTCATTTTGTTGTTATGGTTCTCATTTTGTTGTTAACAGTTCTCATTTTTCAATTAACAATTATCATTTAAGGTTTATTAATTCCTATGTCATTGATGTTATTAACCTATGAGGAGGCTGTGTTCGGTGTCAGTGGATCTGGATGTGATGTTATAGAGGTGGGTGTAGTCAGGAGTAGCGGCATTGGGTGACACTGGGGAGACCGGGAGACCTGATGGGGAGATCTCACGGGAGACCTG